TTCAATATGACCACAATCTTGTAATCGATATGAAAACAACAAGTGATTCAAAGAAAGAGGAACTTACTAGAGAACCCAGATGGGTTAGATGGTTGAAACCTCCGGAGGGTTACTTAGTTCTGAACACCGATGGGGCATGCAAGGGTTCTTCAGATATTGCTGCTGTAGGAGGACTCATCAGAAACGATAAAGGGGACTGGATCTGTGGGTATACAATGAACATCAACCAGGCGAATAGTTTGTCAGCAGAAATATGAGGAGTCATAGAACGTTTAATCATAGCAAAAGAAATGGGTTTTGGAAACTTATTAATAGCTTCGGATACCAAAGAAGTCACGAACGTCATCAATAGCGGAGATATGGATTCCATCGATCTGCAACAAAAAGAATTGATGAAGGATTGCAGTCATTGATGCACGAGTTGGAGAATAAGGAGATAACTCATACCTTGAGGGAAGCTAATAAATGTGCAAATTTCCTTGCAACAATGGTTTTGGAGGACATAGAAGGCGTTAAAAAATGGAAGGAACCGCCGTCTGGAATTTTACCCTTGCTTGAAGATGATAGAAACGGGAAAGAAACCCTAAAATTATAATAGGGAAACATTGTCGTATTCTCCATCATGTATACCAAAAAAAATAGATTCCAAAAATTTAGATTATAATATTTTTTTTATAGAAAGTTGTTAGTTTTATTAAAAATTAAAAATATATAAAATTACAATAAAGATTTACAAGTATAATCGTAAACTTAAAATATAATTATGATATTTTTTTATTACTATTAAGACAAAAACTAGGAACATATATCATATAATGACTAAATAAGGAAAAGATTAGAAAACCTAACAAAAAGCTCGAATAAAATAGTGATACAAACAAATATGACTATATCGGTAAATGAACCACAAAATAGGATGAAGTTATTGAAAGACAACCGACAAATCGCAAATCATAGTAAGCGACGTGAGAAAACTATCCACGAACAAAAAATATATATCCAAATCAATCTGATGATCTAAAGCAGGGAAGATCATCATGATAACAAATAAGTGTCATCTTGATCAGTCGTAGCATTGTCAAATACAACCCTGAGAAAAAAGATAAACAAAAATAATGACAATAAACATTAAACAACGGCAACAAATCATAAATTACCAAAAGACGGATAAAAACATGTCACAAATGCATAAATAAACGTGTCATAAGGACAGAGAGCATGTCACAAAGACATAATTATTCTTATTAAAAAACTAAAAAAAAGATAGACGAGCGAAACCGATGCTGCCACCGATTAAACAAAATTAATGAAAAAATGTTGAATTAATAAATAAAATTAATACAAATTATAAAAAAAAAAGAGGAAGAGGAAGAGGAAGAAAGCTGCTAGAATTTTAGATTACAAATTTTAAAAGGTAAAGTTAGATGCTAATTTAGATTATAATATTAACAAATAATATTGATTATTGAATATAATTTATAAGAGAAGTTCTGCAGTGCGGTGCTTAAAAAATGGCTAAAAAATGGCGTGACTGGTTAAATAAGTGACCGGTTAAAATTTAGATCGATTATGTTATATCATTTAACCGGAAACATTATTAAGTACAATAACATATTAGGTACCGCTTATATAATGTAATAGGCAGCGCTTATATAATAAAATAGGTTAATTACTGGAAACATTATCAAACACAATAACATATTAGGTACCGCTTATATAATGTAATATGTAGCGCTTATATAATGTAATAAGTAGCGCTTATATAATAAAATAGGTTAATTATTGGAAACATTATCAAACACTATAACATATTAGGTAGCGTTTATATAACGTAATAGGTAGCGTTTATATATTAAAATAGGTTAATTACTTAATTTGTTATTACAAAATATTAGGTAAACGCCTAAAATGTTACCAAGAATAATATAATCGGTTAATTACTAGAAACATTATCAAGTATAATAACATATTAAGTAGCGCTAATGTAACAAAATAGATAATTACTTACTTAATTTATTATCATTTATAATAAACTTACCTTAGGAATAAATGTTAATAAAATTTAAAATATCTATTACATCAAAATACCTACCGTTTTTTTGAAGGTTGTTAACAATGTAAACAGTAAAAAAATAGGCGCTACCTATTACATTAAACTACCTACCGAGTATGTTGAAAGTATCGATTCCATTTAAATAAGTATCGACACTTTTGGAATTTAAAAGAAAAGCAGTAATAGTGCCTATAAAGTATCGATACTTTATAAAAATGTATCGATATTTTACAATATACTAGGTAAAAATATGACAAAACCAATTTCATTATGACAAAACCGGTAAAATTTACTTGATATGTTGAAAGTATCGATCCTTTTATAAAAAAAGATATATACTTTACAATATAACAAGTAAAAATATGACAAAATCAGTTTTATTATGACAAAAACAGTAAAATTTACCTGATATGTTGAAAGTGTCGATCATTTTATAAAAATTATAGATACTTTACAATATAACAGGTAAAAATATGACAAAATCAGTTTCATTATGAAAAAAAGGGTAAAATTTACTTGATATGTTGAAAGTATCGATCATTTTATAAAAAAGATAGATATTTTACAATATAACATGTAAAAATATGACAAAACCAGTTTCACTATGACAAAACCGGTAAAATTTACCTAATATGTTGAAAGTATAGATACTTTTTATAAAAAATATCGATACTTTTTTGAAAGTTATGTAATTTATGTTTCAAAAATTTTTAACAGTGTTTCATGTTTCTACCTACAATATTAATTTAATAATTTCATTTACACAAAAAATTATTTGATTGTTTTAATATTTTATAAAACATTATTTAGAATTTAAATTTAACAATTTTAATCAAGATAATAATAAATATGTAATATATATGTTTATTGTTTTAATTTAATAATAATATATATTGTAACATAAAAAATAAATCATTAGACGCATATAATTACTAAATTAATATCTTAAAACTAACTCAAAACATAACTTTAAATTAATGATTTTCACAGTGAAATACCTACCTATTACATTAAACTACCTACCGGATATGTTGAAAGTATCGATTCCATTTAAATAAGTATCGACACTTTTGGAATTTAAAAGAAAAGAAGTAATAGCGCCTATATAGTATCGATACTTCATAAAAATCTATCGATATTTTACAATATAACAGGTAAAAATATGACAAAACCAATTTCATTATGATAAAACCGGTAAAATTTACCTAATATGTTGAAAGTATTGATCCTTTTTATAAAAAGGATCGATACTTTACAATATAACAAGTAAAAATATGACAAAACCAGTTTAATTATGACAAAAACGATAAAATTTACCTGATATGTTGAAAGTATTGATCCTTTTTATAAAAATGATAGATACTTTACAATATAACAGGTAAAAATATGACAAAACCAGTTTCATTATGACAAAAAACGATAAAATTTACCTAATATATTGAAAGTATCGATCATTTTATAAAAAGGATAGATACTTTACAATATAACATGTAAAAATATGATAAAACCAGTTTCATTATGACAAAACCGGTAAAATTTACCTGATATGTTGAAAGTATATATACTTTTTATAAAAAGAATCGATATTTTTTTTAAAGTTATGTAATTTATGTTTCAAAATTTTTTAATAGTGTTTCATGTTTTCCACCTACAATATTAATTTAATAATTTCATTTACACAAAAAATTATTTGATTGTTTTGATATTTTATAAAATATTATTTAGAATTTAAATTTAACAATTTTAACCAAAGATAATAATAAATATGTAATATATATTTTTATTGTTTTTAATTTAATAATAATATATACTGTAACATAAAAAATAAATCATTAGACGCTTATAATTACTAAATTAATATCTTAAATCTCACTCAAAATATAACCTTAAATTAATGTTTTTCAGAGTGAAATATCTACTTATTACATTAAACTACCTATCGGATATGTTGAAAGTATCGATTCCATTTAAATAAGTATCGAAACTTTTGGAATTTAAAAAAAAACAGTAATAGCGCCTATAAAGTATCGATACTTTATAAAAATGTATCGATATTTTACAATATAATAGGTAAAAATATGACAAAACCAATTTTATTATGACAAAAACAGTAAAATTTACCTGATATGTTGAAAGTATCGATCCTTTTATAAAAAAGATCGATACTTTACAATATAACAGATAAAAATATGACAAAACCAATTTCATTATGACAAAAACGGTAAAATTTACCTGATATGTTGAAAGTATCGATCATTTTATAAAAAGGATCGATACTTTACAATAGAACATGTATAAATATGACAAAACCAATTTCATTATGACAAAATCGATCAAATTTACCTGATATGTTGAAAGTATAAATACTTTTTATAAAAATGATCGATACTTTTTTAAAAGTTATGTAATTTATGTTTCAAAATTTTTTAATAGTGTTTCATATTTTCCACATACAATATTAATTTAATAATTTCATTTACACAAAAAATTATTTGATTGTTTTGATAGTTTATAAAATATTATTTAGAATTTAAATTTAACAATTTTAACCAAAGATAATAATAAATATGTAATATATATGTTTATTATTTTTAATTTAATAATAATATATACCGTAACATAAAAAATAAATCATTAGACGCGTATAATTACTAAATTAATATATTAAAATTCACTCAAAAGATAACCTTAAATTAATATTTTCCATAGTGAAATAAGTATGGACACTTATATATAAGTATCGATATTTACCGATAACTAAAGTTTACCGATTATCAAATTTTTTAATAATTTTATATATTTTCTACCTAAAATATTATTAATCTATCAATATAATAAATAACGCTAAATCAAATTTATTAAATATCTTTTAATATATCTTGTAATATTAGACAATCCCAATTTATAATGTCAATCATCTATACTTTTAACTTAACGCCGTCGATGAGTATTATATGTGTGGGTGGGGGGGTACGTGGACATGGTTTAGTGATTGTAGAAAAAGAGAGATGGTGGAGTACTGTGTAACAGGCGGAACAGGGTTCATAGCAGCTTATCTGGTGAAGACCTTGCTGGAGAGAGGTTGCCATGTGCGCACCACCGTCCGAGACCCAGGTCTCACTCTCATCTCCTGTTTCCCTTCCCTTTCTCTACTTTTCATTATTTTTTCTGGATATTAATTTTATGAGTATGAGCAGAGAATGAGGAAAAGGTAGGTTTTCTTAGAGAGATGAAGGGAGCTAAGGAGAGGCTCAAGATCTTCAAAGCCGATTTGATGGAGGATGGAAGCTTTGAAGACGCTATCCATGGCGTCAATGGTGTTTTCCACACCGCATCTCCGGTTCTTGTCCCCTATGACCACAATGTTCAGGCAAACCACTCTTTCCTTTTCAATTTTCTCTTAAATTCTTTATTTTGTGATATATTAATTTTCTTAAAATTTTTATAAATAGATATAGAACTCAGAATTGATCTGTTAATTAATTGATTCATCAGAATTGGGCATGCTTGTTCGAACGCTCTATGGCTTTGATTTTGACACTCAACCACTCCCCACTATCTTAATTAATAAATAATTCGATGCATTAATCCCCACTATACATCTTAATTAATAAATAATTCGATGCATTAATCCCCACTATACATCTTAATTAATAAATAATTTGATGCATTAATCCCCACTATACATCTTAATTAATAAATGATTCGATGCATTAACCGTAAAGATTTATAAAAAAAAAAGAATAAGACTAAAGATATAGATTCGGTTCTTTCAAATTCCTAGGAACATGTATACCATTAATTTTCAGCCACTCGTTGGACCCAACACAGCACTTGGCATTTTGTGACGACAAACAGCAAAACACTCATGCAGTGGTACACAGTGGCACGTTACCTTATATTTCTTAGGTTGCAACTTGGAACCACACATCATAATATGCCAAATTTTATGAACGTATACATACATTTTATAATACAACTAAAGTTTTTCTTTTACCTATACAATACATAAAATGCCGAAATTTGGTTACGTTGAAATATTGCAGGCAACTTTGATAGATCCATGCATAAAGGGCACCTTGAACGTGCTGAGATCCTGTGCAAATGCCAGCGGTACTGTGAAAAGGGTTGTTCTCACCTCTTCTTGCTCTGCAATTCGGTACCGGTTTGATGTCCAGAAGCAACAAATTTTCTCCCTTAACGAATCCCATTGGAGTGATCCAGACTACTGCAAACACGACAATGTCAACATTTTCTAATTCATTCCTTTGTTAATTTATTGCACATGTTCCTTTTTCCCTGAAAATATTTACTGGTTTCCATGCAGCTGTTTTACGCGTATGCAAAGACGACAGGTGAGAAAGAAGCATGGAGAGTAGCAAAAGAAAGTGGGATCGATCTGGTGGCCGTGAACCCATCTTTTGTGGTTGGTCCTTTACTCGCTCCACAACCAACTAGTACTTTGCAGGTCATACTCTCCATTGTTAAAGGTCAGATCTCTACATGTCGATGCCCACATCTTGACACAAGATCAATGTGGGCACACATATGTTAACAACACAATTTTTGAATGAGTGTAAATAAATAAAATTTTAGTATGGTCACCATCAATAAAATATATAACAAATCGAAGAAAATTTGAATTTAAGGAGGGATACATGCGCACTCTAAGAAATCTATTATCAACCGAAAATAAAAATAAAATATCTATATTATATGAGGATATTTTCATGGGGTGACTGCCTCATCAGCTACTTCGGTCTAGGAACTACGGTTTTCCTTTGTTTCTTTGTGATCATGATGCCCTCAAACAAAGAATCTCATCGAGTTACTTACCAGGTACGAGAGGCGCATACCCCAACACCACAATAGGGTTTGTGCACATAAATGATGTGATTGCAGCTCACATTTTAGCTATGGAGGAAAGCAAAGCATCTGGCAGGCTGGTGTGTTCCGGCTCGGTTGCTCATTGGTCGCAGATCATTGAGATGCTAAGGGCCAAATATCCTTCCTATCCTTTTGAAAACAAGTGAGTTACACTTTCACACCTTTCCTTTATCTGTCTAGACCCTATAATCAGTCAAGAATCAACATTTAGCAATCGAATTAATCGACTAAATCGGCATTGCAGGTGCAGCAGTCAAGAAGGAGACAACAATGAACATAGCATGGATACGAGCAAGATTCATCAGTTGGGGTTTCCGGCATTTAAATCACTTCCACAAATGTTTGATGATTGTATCAGGAGTTTTCAGGACAAAGGATTTCTATGAAGTTCACTTGATCGGTCCTGTGCAAACTTTGGTTCATTTGGGTTTTCTCTTTCTTCAAATAAAAGGTGTTTCAAATAACGCACTTCTCTAAAATGCAAACGCCACGTTAATTTAAGCAATTGAGTCCATGTTTTGGGTTCTGGTTGCTATGGTTCTTAAAAATTATTGCAATAATATAAAAGCTTTCAGTGACTTTTTACAAGATTCCATACATTTTGCACTAGTTAACTTAGTTCGGTCACAATTTCAACTTTTGGGTTTGCTTTAGTTTTATCAACTAATTCCAACCAATAAAAGCTTCTTACATTGATGAATTTTTAGGAAAAAAAACCTATATGGATTTAATAATCTTCAAATGTTCTTTTTACTGCCAAGCCAACCTAGTTTGTCTTGTGCCTTGGTTGTTGATTTTGCATACTGATGTTGCTGCTCGAGAGAAGTGACAGTAGTCGTTGAAGTCGATACCGCTGTTGTTGTTGTAGACGGTGGATGTTGTTGTAGAGGAAGTCGCCTGCTCATCCGTCTTCTGTCATCCGCTCACCTACTGTTGTTGGTAGCGGACGAGGCTCTATTAAGTCCGTAATCTGGACAAACTTTACGAGATGTTAATAATATGTGGTTGAGACAAGTGGAAATTGAGTCCCACGATTTGGGTGATAATTCTTTTGTCTGATTCGAATATCAATAAACCGAAAAAAAATTAAATCTCAATCAAGCTGAGAGAGCTTGGGAATTTGGTAAGAAACTTGATTTCCAAATGGAAAGGGATGAACGAAAAGTCATTTTGGAACTGGCAAAGTTAGACGCTAGCTTATTAAGTTATAAGGTTTGAATATAAGGCGATTATTTCTTTCTTTGTAGTGGTTCAAAGGTAGTTTCAAGGTTGTATGGTATTGATATTTCTGAGGAGTATCAATGTCTCTGTCATCGTAATTTTATTTTCTGTCGAAGGTCAATATATCTTTTGTTTGGTAGTCTGGCAGATTGCGAAATATTGGGCGAGAGTTGATAGTATCGATTACACTCTTGTGGTAGTGTCATAATCATTTTTTAGGTGGAACAATGATTTATTGTTTTAAAAATAGTTATGATTTTAATTTGGAAAAATTGAATGATTTTGAATTAATTTGTATGAAATTGGATAGAGTCGCCATCGACCTTTGGGTTAGGTAGGTCGAATACCTAAAAACATTTTTTTAAAAACAATTTTAAGAAAAATCGTTTTTAAGACAAAAACTGATATGCGTTTACCAAAGATTTGATTAAAACGGGTTCGGGAGTCGGTTATGCGTAGGGAAGGATTAGCACCCCCACAACGCCCAAAATTTGTATTGTATCGTTTACACGTTGTCGTAATGGTGAAAATTATGAATCGAATATAAAGTTAAAAGATGATCCATTTATTGAACATTGCTTAATTTGCTTCGAATTAATTAATTACAGAAAAAATTTTAACTCGAAAGGAAATCTCGAAATTAGCAATCCTCCATCGAGAAAGCTAACTCGACTATTTCTTATCAATAAAAGAATATTCTTTCATTAATAAATATACAAATCGAATATAAATGAGAATCGACCATTTATCTTCATAGACAATTAAATAAATTGTGAATTAAAATAACATTGTATCAGTAAAATAAATTAATTAGTAAAATAAAATTTATTTATTTCAAGTTTGTATTTATTCGTACGTCGTGTTGGATTATACCACTTCAATCAAGTGATATTTTCCTTGCCCCTTCTACAAATACAAAATTCTTAAAATACATTCGAATAACAATACTAAAAGTATAAAAAAAATTAATAAAAGTTAATATATATATATAATGCGTTGAGTCATGCTTGTATTGTCATTAGGTAAGTGGTTACATTGTAGGGTAGGTATTACATAACCTGTATGTAGAAACACTGTTAATAATATTGGTGCATGCTTTTGACGTTTTTTTTTATCGAATGCATGCTTTTGACGTTAGCGCTCAGGAAGATAAATGGTTACTTCCACGTGGTAGGGAAGGGGTAACATTTATATATATCATGTAAATTAAAAAATTAATATATATATATATATAATCATGCAGGCAAATTCAACGAGATAATGTTCTCAAATTCTTTATTTCACGAAATAAGGCAGTCCCCAAATTAATTGCTCAAATTGGGTGATTTCCACAGTGTTGGCGTAGGTCGCCAGGGCATCCCAACGACATGGTAGGTCGCCATGCACGCCAGGCGACATGGTAGGTCGCCATGCACGCCCGGCGTCCAACGTTCTGCCCGCCTGTTGCTCTGCTTTGGTGCTTTGCATGGGTCATGCACGTGGCATGGGATAGGTAGCCATACAATCCTCTCCTCGCGTGTGATTCCACTTGCAGCTGCTCAGGAGAACCTATTCCTCCTGCTCCTCGCGTGATTCCTCTTACATCTGCTCAGGAGACCTCATGCATGCAGCTGTAATAGCTGTATTATTGCAGCATGATTTGAGTTGCAAAGTGTCATAGCTTCGAGCCATAGCTGCTCCCTCATGCCATAGCTTCGAGACTGTCCACTCTTGTTATCATAGCTGTATTGGTGCAACATAAAATCAGCTGTTGCATGCAGCAAATAGTGTTGTATTATTGCAGCGTTCAACGGTTGAAAAATTTACAGCCTTCAACGTGAATTATACAGCTCAAATTGATTGCAGCTTACCAACCGTGCAAAGATCATTATATATTGGATATGAGGGGTTTAGGGTAGAATCATAAGAAAGAAAGAAAATTTGGCGAGAGAAAGGAAATGAAAGGAAAAGAAGAAGAAGAGGAAATGGAGATAAAGGCTCAAACATCGTTCGTGAGGTAATTTTTAATTGTTTAATTTAGTTTATTAATATGAAATTATGAAATAATTAGTTTGTTAGTTTAGGGTTTAGGATAAAACAGAAATTTAGTTAATTAGTTTGTTAGTATAAATTATTAGTTTGTTAGTTTAAGTTATATTATATTAATTTGTTAGTTTAAGTTATATATTAGATTATATAAAAAATTAGTTAATTAATTTCTTAATTTAAGTTATTAAATGTAAAAAATATTTAATTAATTTGTTAGTGTGTTTAAACGTATATTAGGTTGTTTGTTGAAGTTTAAGTTAAAATATTAAAAAAGTTAATTAGTGCTTAATTAGTTTGTTAGTTTGTTATTTTAACTAAATTATATTATAATAAAGAAATAGTTTATTAGTTTAAGTTATATTATAATATATTAGATTATATAAATTTAATTTTTTTAATTTATTGTTGTTTAAAGAAATAATTTTTTTACACGTATAGAGTATTATTCCACAACATTTTCCCACGTACATATTGATTCGAAGAAAGAAACAATAAAGGAAAGGAAAGGAAAGGAAATGAGCAACAACTTTTTCACGATTGTCCATTATAATGGACAGATTATGGAAAATGAGATCGGAGTAGTTTTTCAGTATGAAAAACCAATAAATATGATGTTCAAAAAAGACATCACATTTATAGAAATGAAACATAAGATAGAAAGAAAAATTCGAGTTGCAGTTGATGGTTTGGGGTATAGGTTTATGATATGCCCCAACCTAGTCAAATATGCTGCAGTTCCACTTGAAGAAGATAATGATATTGGAACCATGGTTGGATTACATGAGTCAACCAATATAGCAATTATTGAGTTATTTGTTGATGTGCATAACATATGTGATGTTCCTGGGTCATCAAGAGGTGTGGCTCAAAATCCATCTGAAATGACTTTATATAGTCAGTTTGAGGAGCCGACATACAGGTTCCCGAACAGTTTTATGGCACTATTGGAAAGTGTAAATGAAGTCGGGGGGACATCTGCAGCAGAAGAGTATGAGACGAGAAACATACCAGAATTGGTTGTTGATATTGACGCTGAAAATCGATGGGGAGAAATTCATGATGATTCAAGCGAAGATGAAGAAACCGAAGAACCCGTTTTGGGCGGCGACGAAAATATTTTTGGTGGAGGTGCAATTGATGAAGTTCCGGCACCGTATGAAGCTACTCCTCACATGTACGAGATAGACTATGATGCGATGAAGGAACCTGAATTCCCATACATGCCACATTTACCTCCGTACCAAATGACTGAATCATTCGATAATTCTGGTGAATTTTCAGTTGGGGTGCAATTCAGAGGAAAAGCTACGCTGGCGATTAAAGAGTACTGCATCAAATGCCATGTTGATGTCCATGTTGCATAGTATAACCAGAAAACCCTATACACGAAGTGTGTAAAATATGGCCCAGAGCGCAAGTGGAATATCAGAGTGTCAAAAAATCAAAAGCACGATGTTTGGGTCATCACGAGGTACAATGGTCCGCACACATGTTTACGAAACTCCATCGAACAAGACCACCGACTATTGGACTCCGATGTAATATGTGAATACGTGAAGGCGATGGTTGAAAAGGATCCAAGGATATCTTGTTCAGTGTTAGCTGCATCTATTCGAAGCCAATTTGGATATCAAGTAAAATATGGCAAGGTGTGGAATGCGAAAATGAAGGCAATAAAGCTGACGTATGGAGATTGGGATACATCGTACAATGAGCTACCACATTTGCTACAAGCAATGAAGCGATTTATCCCAGGAACCATAGTGAAGTCTCAAACCATGGTCGCATATGACGAAGAAGGTCAACTTATGGCAGGGAAGAAAATATTTCATAGACTATTTTGGGCATTCAAGGTATGTATTGAAGGATTTCCATTTTGCAAACGTATGATCCAAGTAGATGGTACGTGGCTGTATGGTCAATATAGGCATGTACTTTTGATGGCAGTTGCTCAAGATGGTGAGCGAAATATCTTCCCAATTGCATTCACCATTGTTGAGGGAGAGACAACAGAGGCTTGGGATTTCTTTCTGATCAATCTACGTCAATATATCGTTCGTGAAGATGGAGTTTGCTTGATATCCGATAGAGGAACGAGTATTTTGGCGGCAATTGAACGACCAGGAAGTCGTTGGATACCTCCGTATGCATATCCGATATTTTGTATCCGTCATATTGGCAAGAATAGTATCGACCAGTTTCATAACGCACATATTCGTAGCGAGATAATCGGCATGGGTAAGTTTTATTTAACATATTTGT